GTGTGTGTGTGTGTGTGTGTGTGTGTGTGTGTGTGTGTGTGTGTGTGAATTATACCTGTGATCACATGCCATGGTACAGTACAGTATGGCAGTCAAAAAGTCTGTTTGACTCTACCATATGAGTCCCAGGGAACTTAAGTTGTTAGGATTGGCAGTAAAAGCTTGAGGGTAAGTGCCTTTAACTGCTGAGTCATCTCACTGGCTCTGGTTGATCAGTTTATTTGTTGGGACAGTCTCATATATTTCAGGCTTGCCATGTAGCTAAGAATGACATGGAACATCTGCCTCCATCTTCTAAATGCTGGGACTACCTCCACTTTCTGAAAGTTGGCATATACTATACAACACCCAGTTTAAGCAGTGTTAGAGCTTGAATCCAGGACTCTGCATGCTAGACAAGCACAGGCGGTCTACCAGCTAGACTAGAGCTCACTGACTCCGACTGGTTGACCAACAAGTTTCAAGGATCCTCCTGTCTTAGTCTCCCCAGCGCTGGGGTGAAAGGCTTTTGTTATCTTGCTCTGCTTTTACATGGGTGCTTGTAAGAGGGGACTGTTCATTCATTTCTTGGCCACCTGGATGCGAATAATCACACAGAAGCTATATTAATTACAACACTGTTTGGCCAATAGCTTATGCATATTTCTAGAAAATTATTTCATCTTAAATTAACCCATTTCTCTTAATTTGTGAGTCACCATGAGGCTGTGACCTACACATAAGGTTCTGACTGGCAGTTGGCATCTTTCTCCTTCAGCAGCTACATGGCGTCTCCCCAACTCCGCCTACATCTCTGCTTGGATTTTCCGCCAGGCTTTACTGTTAGGCCATTGGCCAAAGGCAGCTTCTTTATTAACCAATAGCAATAAAATATTCATTGCATACAGAGGGGAATCCCACATCAGGTGCTGGTTGGTTGAACTCAAGTCTCCATAATCTCCACTGCGAGTACTTTACCAACTGAACAATCTCCCCCAGCCTACTACACTGCCCTTTTTGTTTATATACTGTGACTGTGTGTTTTGCCAGAAATCAAACTGAGGACTTTTGAACATGTTAGGCAATTGCTCTATCCCCAGTCCTATGCCATGAGGTTTTAATTTCTTTATATTTTTTGAGACAGTGTCTCATATAGTAGCCCAGACTGATTTTGAAATCACAATGTAGCCAAAGATAGGAAAACAACTGATAGATTACAGGCACTCGCTACTTGATTTTTTAGTTAGACTTTTTAGATTTCAAATCTGTACAAACATCCCAAAGTCACATTTATATCCCTGTTCCACTCCAGTATTTATACCATTTTTGGTCCCAGTTGCTTCAGAACAGAATTATTCAACCTGTAGTTGCTGGACTGAAACAAACTAGCATCCTTGGATAACCATGTGGAATGTGGCCAGAACTGATTGATTTTAGCAGTAGCTGACTATTTCCATTCCATGAAAGGAGGGTTGCTAGGAAGAATGGACCGTTTTTTGAGGGGACTGGATGTGACTAAGAGATTTAGAATTACACCTTTGAAATACCAAAGGCTTTATAGTTTGGGGAACTGTGACTGTCTATACTTAAAATCCCATAGACTAAATCTGGAATACCTTTGAAAATTACAGAATATAGTACAAGTTTGACAATGAGTGTTGTTATTACTCTCTTTCAGAATGTTCTAAAAGACAAAGCAAACTTGGGATGGACTGCTATTTTAAAGCATAGGTGTGAGTTGGTTGTCTTCCAGTCTGTCTTCCTCCATTACCATGCTGTGGGAACAGACTGGGGGCTTCTTAGGAGAGCATTAGGGTGGTGCTTTCATCCTCAAGCTGATACCTAGGTTATCAAATAGAACCTACTGGTCTCAGACTTATGGCAGTCTCCTTTAACCTTTAACTCATTGTATATTTTAAGTCCTAAACTTCAAAATCTGTCCTTTAACTCAGAAATTTCCTCTCCTCCTCCCACCCCTCAAGACAGGGTTTCTCTGTAGTTTTGGAACCTGTCCTGGAACTAGCTCTTGTAGACCAGACTGGCCTCAAACTTACAGAGATCCGCCTGCCTCTGCCTCCTGAGTGCTGGGATTAAAGGTGTGCACCACCACCGCCGAGACTAATGCATATTACGAGAGATTATTCAGGTTTTAGGAGGAATTCTGTGTGCTTGTTTGGCTTTGAACAGAGTGACTTCATAGCCCAGCCTGCCTGCATCTTTATATGTACTCAAGCTGGTCTTGAATTTGTAGTCATCCTCCCTCAGCCTCCCAGGTGTGCCAGGATTATAGGTATGTATAGGTATAAACCCACTTTAGGCTTGGTTTTTTTGGGTTTTATTGTTTTGGGGTATTTTGGTTTTTTTAGAATTTTTTTTTATACCTCTAGGATAACCTGAATATAGGAATTTGGATACTTCACATTTATTACAAGGGTAACTTGGATTGGTATGTGTTTGGTTTTTGTTACTTGTTTGGTTTTGGAGATGTTTTGTTTTGTTTTGAGATTGGGTCTCATTATAAACTTAGGCTGGCTGTCAGCTAGCTACATAGCCCAGGTGGGCCTCAAAGAAATGAAAATTTAGTCTGAAAAACAGTTTAAAATCACATTATAATACAAACAAGTGGACAAGTGGAGAACAAAATACAAAATAGAAGATTTCTGTATTTACCCACTTGCGCATGCTCAGTGTACTAGGGTGAAACCTGAGAGTTACTAAGAATAACCTCAAATGTTCAGCAGTCGAATCTGGGGTGTGGGAGGGAACACTCCTGACTCAGATGCTGTGCTCCTGCCCTGGACCCCAGCAGCACCGTCTGTCTCTCCTGTCTTCAGGTGGCTTGGACTCATTGCTTGTTTTCACT